GAGCTGGGCACCCAGCGCGCCCCTGCGAAGCCGAGCTGCGGGCTCGGGTGCTGGGGACCTGCTCCGAAGGCGCCTGGTTTGGGGGGTCCCTAAATACGCGCGTGCTGCTCTGGTGTGGCTTTGTTAAAGAAGCTGCTGCCTGACAAGGAGCCAAATCGCGGCGTGCGGGGGAGGCAGGAGGACAGCTGCAAGCAAACCCCTGCTGCAGGAGCCGGTTTCAGGTTATGTGTTTTACAGCTGCGCCAGAGGAAATCAGAGCTGTATGTGAAACGTCTCTGAAGCCTGGGTAGTTGGCAGCTATTTCAAAATGTTAACTCTAGTCCTCAGTGCTCTGACCCGTTTTTCCCCTGTTTGCTAGCTCCCAGCGCTGAAATTGTAGTTTAAATACTTTAAACCTCGTGTCTTTTAAACTTTATCAAGGTATACTTTAAAATTATCATTGCTCTTGACGGAGTACTAGTACTCGGTCAATTAATTGAGAAAACACTTGCTGGAGCTGTGGTAGTGACAAATCTGACAGTCCCTTGTGATTTTTCTTACCACGTTCCTAATGCATAGCGCTGATTGTTTCCTTCTGTAGAAATCCACTATTAAGTACTTCTGAGCTTCATTTAATTCCTTTTTTTAATTACATGATATTGTGGGTTTGTTTTTGTCTCTGTGTGCAAAGTAAAAAAAAATGCCTGTTAGGGATTAGCTTTGAGATACGTTTCATAGTCTCTGGAAATAAATTTTGAATCATAAATGCATTTGAGCTTCTGTTCAAAGAGAAACTGTTCTCAGCTAGGCTCTTATTAAATAAACACTTTGAATGACTGATTTATTTTTTTTATTCCTGTACCCAATTCCTTTTGGCTTCGCGATGCTTTATTCTAAGCTGCAATCCAGCAGCAGATCAAGGAGGCTTAGGAAGAAACATCAGATGGTTTCGGTTAGTGTCCCTACCACTTGGAAAATAAACATGCTAGTACCATATGCTGCCCTGACTTCAGTTAAACAAACTCCCTCAAAATGGAAGCAAGGTATGTCAGCGCACTTGCTAGAACCGTAAGACTTAATAGGGTCCTTTACCATTTTTTTTTAAATTCTTTTTTTGTTTTATCATTTACTCACTGAGGGAGTAATCCTCTTTCCTGAAAATTATGAACTCCAAATTCAGCAGGCTGCAAAGAGCACCATTGTGCCCAATTAGATTTTTTTTTTAAAAATAAAAGTATGTAATGTTATGTTTTAAAGTTCTTGTATTATTACAATTCTAAAATCTCTGGATATTGAAAAACAAACAAAAAAGTGTAATTTAAAAATAAGTGTTTTCTGTATTGGCCCGTAACTCTGACTTCAGCAAGAGGTAGCCCAGGGCATTGGACTCAGGTCTGAGATTTGCAAACACAGCATGATTGCCTAACGCAGGACTCGAATCTTCGATTTAAAAAATAAATAAATAACAATTAAGCTGCGACTTGGGGACGAAACTTTGCAAGAGGAATGTAAGCTGGTGACTGGGCGGAAAAGTACTGCTTTCTTGAGACAGTGAGGTTAGCTTAAAAAATAAGCCTACTAAAACCTCTCGTGTGTAATTACAAAAATGTTGGCTTTGACATTGTAAGCTTTGGCATTTGTTCTCATGGAAGCACTGATGACCTCGGTGAAACTTTGTTTTTTCAGAAGGCTTTACCTGCACTGAATGGCCTGTCAGTCTCGATCTTGGTGTATATTTATGGGCCTGTATCACTAAAAAAATAAAAACTTAGTTAGAAGTTTGTTTAGCTTCTAGCTAAAGCTGTCTGCTTGAAAATACTTTAAAATATCCCCCTCTTTTTTTTTTTTTGTCCCATTTTTCTCTGCTCTTAAAAAATGTCTTAATATAGTTGAAAGCAACTGTGAAGAAGTGATACCAACGATATCAAAGTGAAACGCGGAAGGATACGATATATACGAGATGTTGGATTGATATAAATTAGTGTCATAAATCAGCAAGATGCTGCTTATTTAAAGAGCTATTAGGTATTAAGAGCTGTAACTAATAAGAAAACAGCGTTCATTCAGTGCTCATAAAATGCTCCCTGGTGTAAATGGCACCAGAGGAAAACTGGTTGTCTGGTTGATGCAGCAGTGGCTTGTCTGATATTGAAAGGTTCTTTGCTGATTTGGTTTGCAGAAGCAATTTTGATGTGACCCCATTGAATCGCGTGCTGCTTAATTGCTTTATTAGGTCAATGGAGTTTGTTGTTTAGAAATTGCAGTGCCTTTCAAAGATGACAATTCTTTCAAATATCAGTATTAAATTATGTAATTGTCGGGTCATGATGTCTATGGAGCAATAAAAAGACGATAATGTTGCGGTGTGTGCTTTTTGTTTTTTGTGGCCCCAATTCTGTAGATGTTTGCGCTTACGTATGTTTAATTTTAAACACCCAAGTATTTCTTTTGGAATTAGTAGGTCTGTTCTAAGGCTTAATGTTAAGCCTGCATGTAAATGTTTTCAGGGTCAGGATTTATGTTTGCAAAGTTCATGGGATAAGCCTGTCGCATTTTCATACCGACTGTTCTGTATTCTGCATGAGATAACGTAGGCAGCAGGCTTCTGCTTTGGAACCGGGGGCTGGTTTATCTACCGACACGAAAAGAGACGCTCCCAGCCCCGCTGCTGCGTGACGGTGCTGTACCTGAGCTGACTTCATCCCTGCAATGTGCTTTGCGACACCGCAGGCATCTCTTTCTATTTTTAAAGCATTTTTACCGATACAAATGTGCATAGATGTCAATTCTTTATATTCTTCTAGGTGCTTATTTCAATCGATGTTAGTTTTACAAGTAATTTGGGGCTGGAAGAGGAGGGGAGTTCCCCTGCCGAGTCTCTCACACTGAACTGCGCACTAGACGGTGGAAAGAAAAGCTTAAGCATGCAGTTGTTTGATATAAAATCAGGTAACTTGTGAACATGCAAGACTAAACTGTTTTGCGTTTTTGTGATTTTCCCACCTGATTAGTGGGATCCATTTTGATCTAAAAAATGGAACCTTGGGGTAACGTAGCTTAGTGTATTTTTGCAGCTTCATTTTTGTTTTAAATAAGCAACTTGTGACGTTGCTCTAGGGTTGTGGTATTTCATTAAGAATGACTAGAATTTTCTTGCTGTCCTCACAGCAAAACAGACCAAATTGGGTAAGAAAGTAATTGTGAGGTTATAAGTGTGTCAGCTCAATGTTACATAGAAGTTAATTTTTGCCCAGGCAGAGTTGGTTGACTTTGGGATGGAATGATGTATGTTGCATTTTGCCTGGCTGTTTTCCCTTCATTCCACAGAGAAGAATGTGTGTTTGTATTTCATTGCAGGGATTTGTCACGCTTAACCACTGTTTGATGGGGTGTGCAGAATTTTTATGAAGAACCCTTGTTTGTAGAGCAAAATGCAATTTGATTGAGGAGTATATCCAATATATGAACTGATCCAGTTTTAAAATGTTGTAAATGGTAGTAATAAGTAGTTCTACGTAATGAATAAGAAGGAGAGATGACTTATTTATCTTTTTTGTAGCAATAGAGAATGCTGGGAAGTGGTGTGCATGAAAAGGAGAACCCCTATGTGTCTGGACGAAGGGAGGAGCCCAGTAGTTGCAGAAAGGCAGAGCGGGGCTTTTGGATCAGGTTGGCTGGAGTGGTGTGGTGCTGTCAGATATTATTCAGCGCAGTGGGGAAAAATGAGTACTTCTGCATTGGTACGTTCTTTGCAGTGGGAGTAATTTTGAAGGGTGCTTAGGCAGCACCCCCCACCCTAGTCCCAGAGATAGCACTGCTGCTGCGTGTTCCCATGACCTTCTCCGAAGAGGTTGCACAAGCCCAGTGGAAGGTGTCAGGATGCTGGCGTCATGCATTCCCGGGGGCTGGCTGGTTAGAAAACAATTGGGAATAAGCACAGTTTATTATTGGGTTCAAGTCAGTGTTCCTATACGTTGATGCTTTTATCGACTCTTGCAGTGGTACTCGTCATGTAGATTTTTTTTTTTCTTTCCACGCAATTTTTGTTTGACTCTGAGCTCTCCACCACAAACAACTCTCTCTTAATGCAGTGTCACTTTCAAAATTTTGGCCCTGAAAGGCCAAAGAATGCTAGTGATGGAGGATTTTAACCTCTTACCTTCCTGTGGCTTTCTTTGTTCTTCAGATTGCTGCCAATCCTCATTTCTGGGTTCATACATAGGAATAAGAAAGCTGATGCAGCAGAGGTTTTTGGCACAACAGAAGCAAATGGAAGTTCAAGCAAAGCTAACGGAGGTAAAATGTCACCGACATGTATGCTGAAACCGGTTTGTAGAAAGTGGTTTTCAGTGGTTGCTATATTGTGCTCGCATAAGCTGTCGTGTTCTGCCACAGGAATGTTGTGTTTGCTTTGCAAGGACCAACCCATGGGGTTCTTTTTCTGACACAAAGCAATATTTCAGGATCTAGGCGTGTCGTGATTTTTCTGACTGTCAAGTTTTGGTTGGCATTTCTGAACAAAGTCTTCATTTAGAAAAAAAAAGGCTTGGCTGGTATCAGCGAGCCGCCTTTGTCGATGCATTTTACTTTATCATAACGTGAATGTGCTTTTATCTGCGTACCTTCTATTAGTGCCCAGATGAAATGAGCTGTTACTGGCAACATACTCTTATGGCAGTAGAACAGAGCCTCTACTGGGGTTTCCTACAGGCACGGCGATGTCATCCAAATCATTCCCCTAATTGACATTGCTACCTGCTACGCCAGCAAAACCAAAACAACAACAAGAAAACCCACAACCCCCGGAAGGCTCTTAAGCTAACCACATTTTGACTTCAACGCAGTTGGTTCTGCCACTGCCCTCGGCAACAGCCTGTGCAGAACAGTACGTTCAAAGTCTGTCTTACGCGGCTGGGTAGCCTACATCTAGAGCAAGTCACATTTCAAGGAGGACACTGGGGATGTCTATATTTGTATGTGCCTCATGGATAGCACACTGAATATCTGCAATAGATTAAATACTTAAATGTGGACCATATTAAATTGCTTCTACATGTTTGGAGGTTAAAAGTTACAGAAAAAAAAAAAAGTCGGTAACAGCTATTGCCACTTCATGCAGAGGAGGGTGCCGTATTGTTGCTTCCAAGCTCATGCATTTATTTACCAGTAGTCCACCCTTCCTTGTGTTCTTGCCCCTTTTTATTAGATCTATTCCCCTGCCTCACATAATTGTTTTCTCCTATATTTTTTTATATCAAGTTGTTTAAAAGTTGCTTGTAACCAGACTGGAATAACTGTAAGTGAAAGTTGATCGATACATCACAAGACCACATAGATCCTAATGTGTTGTATAAACTTTCTGGTCTTGTTCAAAGCGTTTGCTATAAACCCAGTTCTGATCATACGGCTGTAAGGGTACCCTGGGTGCAGTATGTGTGTACCCTAGCTATCACACTGCTCCCTGGGGCTGCCCTGACTGTTAATTGAAGTAACTTGTTTTTTAGACTTTAAAAAAAAAAAAAACCAAACCTTTTTCAGTCAAGCTTCTTCCAGAGCAGGTTGATGAGGATTTCCTTCTCTCCAGCCTCTTTTTCCTGTCTTTATATCTCGTTTGCTCTAGAGGGGTTTTCTCAGCCGTTTGTTGTTACCGGCAGAAGCTAATGAAGGCTCACCCTGTGAATTAGTAAAATAGTTCTGTGTTTGTGCTAGATCTTACATTTATGTTAATTAAAAATTAGTACAAGTCTGTTCCTGGACTGTTTTTACAAGTAGTCCATTACTAAGCTGTCATTGCTGCTTCTAATGAAGATTGAAGCTTTAAAAATCACAGGGTTTCCTGCCTTATACTAAACCAGTATAAAAAGCTACTCATTCAGTATTGCATGCCTTCAGAATTTAGGTTTGCTTCTTAACCATTTTAATTCCCTTTAAATGATAAAGGTAAAGCTAATCTCATCCAGGTTATATTAAGCTAAAAATACAGATACGTTTGTGTACTTGTGGATCTGTCATGCATTTCATCTGAATGTTTTAACAAGGTATGTAAGTTAGATCTTTACATACATATTACAAAGCTTCATAAGAATTCAGCGACAACCACCGAATGTGTTTCTTTTTTGAATCACCAGTAAAAAATAGTATCTTTCTACTTCGTCTGGCAGAATAACCACTCTTCATTGCTGTTATCTGGGGGATGGCTCAGCATGTCTGTTTAGAGCTGATACTTTTATATTCTATAGCTTCTGATACGTGTCTTTCTATAGCTGGAAGTGTCACGAGCTGAATTAGGCTTCACAGCATGTGCAGCAGCAAATATACCTGTCGTGTGTACTTATACAGCGTGGGCATGATCCTGCATAAATAATACTTGCAGTTTTAGTTTAGTGGGGACTTTTTTTCCCACTTTGAAATCCATTTTGACTGATAGCTGCTGACTTATCTATTGACTGTGGCTCCCCTGCTTTCTGCAGGGAAAATAACTTTCTGGTGAGGCAAAAGTGAAGGTGATTCAGTGGTGGTAAAAAGGAGAATCAGCAGCACAGCTTGTTTGTGCACTTGACCTGAGCTGTCTTGCCATGTAAGCAGAAAAAGAGAATCTATGGGAAAATTAACACTAAAGTGAGTGGTAATGCAGAATTTTGGGTTACTGGAGTGTGAAATGAAACCGTTACAGTTCTTTCTTCTGCAGTAAGGGATGTATGCTATCGACTAGAGAAATGCTGTAGAAGTGTAATGCTTTCCTAAGTCATATTTTGAAAAGTTTGAAAAGCTGTGAAGCTAGGAAATGTTCATAAATAAGTGTCGTGCCGTTATGAAGTGGACAATATTTGATGAAGAACTTTTGGGTACAGCTTGACACGTTACCTCCTACAAATGATCAGAACACTATGGATTTCACAACAGATATCGTTTGTCTTTATGTAAGTCTCAAATTTAGTGAAGGCAACTTATTTCACACAGTAATGTCAACATTGTGCTGTGATTTATTTTTTTTTTTGCTTCAAAGAGTCAAAGAGGAAATATTTCTGGTTTAGCTGTGATACTGAGTTTAACAATAAAGAAGATGGTTTGTTCTAAAGTGTTGATATAGGTGAGGCCACGTATACCTGAAAACCTGCTAAGCAGGTTAAGTTGAAATGCAGGAGAGAAGGGACTTCACTACAACGCACCCACACGTGTTAGGAGCAGTTGTTATCCCATATATGCTATTTTTCAGATGATGTATCACATGCCGAGTCCTACTTAGCCATCCCTACAGCTTGACTGTACAACTTGAGCAAAAATTTCTTCATCAAATGGGTTGTCAAGCATTGGAATGGGCTGCCCAGGGAAGTGGTTGTGTCCCCGTCCCTGGAGGTATTTAGAAGATGGGTAGACGAGGTGCTTAGGGACATGGTTTAGTGGTGGGATGGCAGGGTTAGGTTAACGGTTGGGCTTGATGACCTTAAAGGTCTTTTCCAACCTAAACGATTCTATGATTCTAATTGAATCTGTGGTGGTGACTCCGTGGGGTCCATTGTGGGCATGAGAGTTCTTCTGCCTGATTCTGCTCCCAGGGAAGTCCCGCTATTCACCACAGCTGTGATGATGTGGTTATAGCAAAGCATCCCTTATGGGATTTCTTTGCTAGGGCTCGATTGCTGCTGATACAAATCTGGTTAGCATTCTACTTGTCATTGAACTTACTTTACATATATGTGTATATATATAAAACTAATTTCTACATGTAAATAAATAAAACAGTATAAAGAATTAAAAAACAAACCCTGTACTCATTCTTTTCTTTCAACAATTTTTTTTTTTTGCTCTCTTTTCTTTCCTTCCTTTCAGATCTTAACTAAAAATCCTTCCAGATTTAGCTCTAACATTCAGCATTTTTTATGGAAGAATGAAGTTGAAATACAGTAGGTAAAGGAATTCTAGAAATCTGATCCAATATGTTTTTACCAACTTAATTATTGTTCAATTCTATAGGTTTTGCTTTTACTTCTTAGTTGTGAAATAACTTACTTCTTCTGGTGCTGTCAGCAGTTCTAGCAGTTGTAAGTCTCTGTTGCATGCCCAAGGCAGTGCCTCAAATGAAGCCAGCTCCCTGAGGAGCTTCAATAATGTGTTGTGTAAATAGAAGATCTGTATAAATATTACTGATTATCAACACTGATTATAGCAAATGTCATGGGGGGGATTTTCACATAAATTGCCACAACAAATGTTTGGAAAACAGTAAATGAGTGATGGAAAAATAATAACATTTATAAGGTAGAAGGAGTCATTTTCTTCATTTTACAGCTGATAAGTAGGTGCATATGAAAAGACAGAAATCAGATTGCTTTTGCTATCATGATATGTTTTTCTGTAGTCCAGAGGTTAAGTTCTATCTTTATTTACTAATAAACTTATTCAGTTTTCTGACTTAAAATTAGCCTGTTTCTCAAATTTGAAATAAAATGGAAGCAATTAAAAAAGTGGAATAACCTATCATTTATTCAGATATTAAAATGTATTTAAATATATTTCAATATTTATTCATAAAATTGCATTTAAATAGATTGATAAAAAGCTTTATTGGAAAATATGCTCTGCCTTAACATGAACTGAAGAGGATTAGGATTTAATAAAGTGAATTACTGTTTTCTGTTTGTGGGGGGAAAATATTTTCCCCCAAGGTTTTGCTTTTAAAACTACCATCTTTCTTCCCAGATGTTCTCGAATACGTTCTGCATTGTTTTAAGACAACTCTAATCTTTAATACGATTATCTGTAAACTTCCTTTGTTTACTGAGGGATTTTTTCAGATTATCAAATCATTTTATATACAAATCCTCCTTTTCTTGGTGTGTACCCTATGTCTCCGTTGTATGCCCGAGGCAGTGCCCCGAATGAAGCCGACTGACAGCAATTATTGATGATTATTCTCTGCGTGCTGGGAAGTGAAATCGAGCCTCCGGTCTCAATGCATGGTTTGTTTCAAACACAGGGTAATGGGAGCAGGTGCAGGGAGACACCGGAGCCTGCGCATTGATTTGCAGCATAAGCATAGGCAAGTTACTTAAGAGTATAAGGGATTGAGAAGAGAAAATGGTTGGAGCTGAAGTTGTCTTGTGCTTTTAAAGAACTTGGTCAGTATGTTTTCCTGGTACCCATACATGAAAATGAGAGGAGCTATTTTCTCTCACCGTGCTGGTGATATTTCATTATGCTGGGGCATGGGATAGCATTTAACAGGAGGGAAGAGCCCTTCCGTCCCAGTTCTCCATCCCACCTAAGAGTGGCCTGATCTGATTTGCTCTGACTCC